AGTGCGGACAAGCATTTTTCTTAATAGAATAGAACGTTTGTCCAACTCTCTACTGATTCGTTCTGTCCGGGGGGGGGGGGGGGGAGAAGAGAAGTCTCGTGTGTGTGGGGGGGGGGGGATTTAACACCCAGACATCGTTACAAACGGGTCAGCAGCAGCCTGCTTGCTGCACTGTGCCGTCCAATGCGCTCCTCGTCGGTGGATGCACAACGTGTGAGTGAGTCGCCACGTCACGAAGTTACTTTATGCCGGCAATGGTCACCTCTGAGACCCGATCTCCGCGGGCCTGCAGACCAAACGAAAGTCTAAGTGTTCACATTGAGCGTTGAGGCAAGCGCTCAACTCATATTTACAGCCCTAGGCCGGCTTTGGAAATTCCACATTTCTCTGGCGGGCGGGCAAGGATCTCCATAGGACAACCACTGCTGGACTTCCCCCACGAAGCGATGCCGATGTTTTTGTTGTTGTATCAACCTCGGGAGGGAGATGGCTGGCATCGACGAAGCCCCCGCGGACGACCTCACGACCCCCCCCCCCCCCGTACGCGACCCCCCCCCCTCCGTACGCGACCCCCCCCCCCTCCGTACGCGACCCCCCCCCCCCTCCGTACGCGACCCCCCCCCCCTCCGTACGCGACCCCCCCCCCCCTCCGTACGCGACCCCCCCCCTCGCTCTGTCGCCGAGTGACGCGGCGCGGTACAAGACCGTCAACGAGCCAACGAAACGTCGCGCGGACGAACCGCGCCGCGATCGATGGCGGGGGGAGTGGTGGTGGTGGTGGGGGATGATGACCCCGGCGGTCGGGCGGGCGGTCGGTGGCGTCCCCCGGCCCGGCTGTTGTCGCGTGCGGCGGGACGGGCGAAGACGGCGGAGGAGACGGCGGCCGCTGTCTGCGTGGCGGCCACCCAACTCCCAGGCGGGATGCGTCGCAGCTTGGTTCCTCCCCTCGTCTCCCCCCCCCACCCCCCCCGTGGGGACCCCAGAGGTTGAATAAGGGTGCAGCTGTCGTTCGCGCTTCCCAATTTTCCAGGGCGAGGTCCCGTCACCCCCCACGCACCCCCCCCCGCCGCCACCAACCTTTTGTCCCCATTCTCTTTTATTTCCCTTAATTTCAAATCTATCATCCCGTGCCGTGGCTTCCACACCTCCCTATTAGCGGTGGCGCTTCCCCAGACGCCGCGATCAGAAAAGCGTTTTCACTTCAAATTGTGGCGCGCCTGCCAAACGCGCGCTTTAGCCCCGCTCATCAAACGCGGCAGAGAAGGTGGGGAGAGGCTCGAGCTGGCGTCTGGGGACTTCATTATTCTGACTCATTATTTCTGCGTGATCAAACTGGCAAGTTTGGCAAGCGCGGGGCACCCGAGCCCCGTACCCCTGGGGATGTGCATTTTCCACCTTTGGCTGTATTTTTTTTTTTTACGGAATCGTTTACATGTGAGCCCGGCGCGCCTACCGCAACAACAACAACAAAAAAAACTGTCAAGTGCTTACGGGGCCATATCGTGCCTCCGTGACACCCGCTGTCAGCGCACGCTAAGTGCTCCCCCGCGCACGCCGAGTGGTTTCTTCCTCTCGCGCCGGTGTGCGCCGGCGAACGAGCCGACGCAAGTCCGATCTCTGGGGGGGGGGGGGGGGGGGATCTCCGGTCCACCTCCTGGGGAGAGGGGACTTCTGCCCCGTTGCACAAGAGACTCGACATGTCCATTACGAACCGGTAATGAAAGCCCACTGAGAGACGACGCCGGGCCACGTTTGAGATGCAGATGCCGCCTTCCCCCCCCTCCCGCTGCTGAATTTCTATCACGCCGCTTCAGAAGTGTTCGAATGAGCCGTTCAGAAATTCAGAAGGGGAAAGGAAATGTTAAATAGAATATCGGTTGTAACACCCCGGCTGTCACTGTGTGTGTGTGTGATAGGGGCGTGCAATTGCGATCCTTTCTGAAAGCAAGATTCACTGTGGAACTCAAGCTCACATACACAACAGATTGGTGGCATTTGACAGTTCATTTGTAAAGCTTTTCTCGTCGGCTGGACCCAGTTAAATTAATTGTTAATTTTTGTTGCAATTATATTTGCACTCTGTGAAAGCATTTTTAGCAATTCTCTTCTATTTGTTTGCAACGCTTCGAGTCACACTTCAGTCATAATTCGGCAATGCATTGTGGGAAGTCTGCAGTGGTTGTGCTATGGAAATACTAGCACCTGGCCTGGGAATGTGGAGTTGCCACTGCTGGCTCACGGCCACCGTGAGGATAAGCGCGAGTCACTCCTCTGGACGGCTGCTGTTCACTTTCCACGAAGTGGTACTCACTTGATCACATCCAGATGAATGGATGATGAGAGGCCAAGTTGATCCGAGGCTGGGATTTGACCTCACAACCTTGCCACTGTGAGTCGATCACTCTAAATGCAGCACCACCCAGCCAACCAGTACTCGAGGATGATTCAAATTATTTAATTGAACGTCTTCAATTGAGTCTCACGTTGCCCTGTCGTTCGCGTGCTGCATGTATAAAGCAGAAAATCCAATGCTCATCCTTCAGAAATGCTGATGTTGTTCAGTGTCACAGACTGCAAACACAAGAAGCAATGTTGGCATTCTTATAATTCAACATTAGCGTCCAAAGCTCATAGAGTCAGACTAAAGCAGTGTTTGTGTTTCTCTTGTTGATGCTGGAAGCTCGGAGCCAGACTGACACCCTTAGGATTCATCCCGTTCAGCATTGGTGCTCAAGGCTCAGAGGCCCCGAACACAATAGAGTCTGATTCAATTTGGTTTTATATGGCATTAAAATATAAAGTGGATCCTCACTTAATAGACCGGCTTGCCAGCTTGTTATAGTGCAAACTGACACTAAGCTCCCAGCGGAGAGCGATTATTAGCATCTAGGATGGAGTAAGTTTATATGAAACCGGCAATGACATACGTGTTAGACTTTCCAAAACCCCGGAGAGAGCTTCATACAGTGTTCTCTTTGTTGTTATTTTATATTCAGAGGAATAATGGAGTCATACTAATATTTTGCTGGGTGAATTTGATCATGCCTGAGCATTCACGCGAACTCATTTGCAGGTGAGTTTAGAGTGTGCGCGAGGAGAGGAATGAGGTGCCTGGTGCTCTTGTTGTTTATTGCCACGCTCGAACGTATAATGAATGGGCAGTGCTCATTTCTCTCAATCAAACCCTGAGCCAATGGTAGAAATTCCTCGATTCTATGGCAGGGAGCGGTCTTGCCACAAAAAAGTCTACACAGGTCTTCCGACAAATGATTACTCATCGTATCGAGCCCGAGATGGACATTAATTGACCATCCCTGAACGGAACTGAGTTGAGCTCACTTTCAGTCGGGCGCTGACAAATCCTACATTTCTACAGTGAGAAGAGTCTTTAAATTGAAAAACTACTCTTGAAATTCCACGGGATAGTACCTATTTTAGAATCATGTAAAAAATTATAATGGTGGGTGTTGATGATGATGGGTTAAACTGACCAGCCCCAATCGGGGAATGAACTTGCAACCTCCTGATGGTGAGCACTTGGAGTCATTGTGTCGCCCGGTGCCACATTGTAGAAAAGCGGGGTTGCTGCACTTGCTGGTAACCAATTACTTTGTTGGGTACAACCAGTGGGAGGCTGTACCGTTCTTGAAGCACGGAGCCTTGTATGTTTGTACGTACGTATGTTGAACTTCTTTCGCGCCGTACGTAGCCAACTGTGCGAATTGGAGGTGCGAGGGAAGGACAACAAACTAAACACAAAAAGCATTTCTAAAGAAATTAGTTTTCAATCTCGATTTAAAAGTGCATTGATCTAGTGGCTTTCTAATATTGGAAGGAAGAGCGTTCCAGACGGCCGCCGAAGCGCATCTGAAAGCGCGCGATGCAGTGACTGCCATCACGATAGCCTCGCACCATAAGAATGGCACGAACACCAAAAGCACTACGGTAAATTAATATTTATTCTTATTATCATTATAACCTGCAATCAGTTCAAATACTGGTGCTTGAGGGGGCGCCGTGGTAGTGAGGTGTTAACTCCCTCGCCTGGTATGAAGGAGGTCGTGGGTGAGAACCAGACCCTGACGCCTGTATATTTGGAGTTTGTGTGTCTCTCTCTCTCTTCCCGTGGTCGCGTGGATTTTTCCCCAGGTCGTCCGGTTTTTACCTCCACATTAAGAATCATGCGTTTTGGGTATTTGGCTGCTGTAATTTTCCACGTGATAAGCCACTTCGTTGGGCTGTCGTTTGTGGCCACGTCGCTTCTGAAGAAAGATCTGTAAAGCTCAGTGGGCTTTAACTGGTAAAATACATTCAGACGCTGTCTCCCCGACAGACCTGGTCTTCACCTGAGGACGGCTGCTTGCGTTGCGGCCGAAACGTCGTGAGAATTATTTTATTATGTTTTATTTTTATTATTTTATTACTTCCCTTCTACGTAACTTTACCGAAAGAACCAAGAAGATGGTAAAATACAATTTTAAAAGTTTAATAAAGAAAACAATTTAATAGCTTGGTGGATGATAACACCACAGGACCGTGAGAAGCTGCGGCGCCTTGGGGAGGCCTTCATCCAGCAGTGGATCGATCTTGGCCGACGATGACGATCGCAGTGATCTGTGCGAGGCTGCTGCTGCTGCTGCGCAGAGCTTGTTGGAGTAAATCAGTGGCAAGTTTTTTTTCCCCGCAGAAAGGGGGGAGGGAGTGGGTTGCGCGAGCCCCGTGGGTGCCCCCCCCATCCCCCCCCCCCTCTGGACGGGGTTTATCGTAACGCCGCATCGCAGCTCCTCTCGCCGGGGTCGCAACGCCGCAAAATCGAGAGAGAAAAGCCAGGTCGGAGGTGAGAGGGTGCAGCGTGACCTCTAACCCCCGCTGCTCAGGCGGGGCAGTTCCCAGGAGCCGCACTGCTCACAGGGGCAATCTCACTCCTTATTGGGCAATGGGGGGGGGGGGGGGGGGGCTCGCTGAACCTTATCAGATTTCCCATTACCGACGTGGGGCATTCCAACAGCCGAAACGTTTCTGCGCTGAACTCTGTGTTACTCGGGGGTACAAATTGAGCTTTGGGTGAAGGCGCACTCAGAAGGCTGAGGCTACGGAGACAGGATTGGGATATTTAAATCGCGTGAAACCCCTTCCCGTGCTGTCGAGGTCACTGCGACGCACAGCACTGCCAACGGAGCGTTCCCCTTTCTGCATCGTGGAGGACATTAATCGAGCGTTTTTTTTTTGCGTGCCAAAAAAGTGATTCAAAGAAATATTTGGCCAAATGTGTGATTTGTTGGAGGCACTTCATGTCATTTGCAAGCGAGGGATGGGGATGCACACGATGCGTCTTGAGTGAACGAAGGTGCAATTTTGATACTGTTGCAATAAATGCATGCAAACTATGTAGCCCGTAACGGCCAGAAGATCAAAATGCGAATAGTTTAAAAAAAAAAAAATCTGAATGATTTCTATGAAAATGTATTTCATAAACCATATAACTATTTTTAATAAATTAGATTTTTTCAGAATATTTTTACGTGTCAGTCTTGACCTCGTGGTGGAAGTTCCATCTTCCTATGTCAGGAATCAGTCGACATAGTGGTACTAGTTTTATTGACCCCTGCTAATGGGAGTTGATAATTTTATAATAACCACAATCATCTTTTTCAGGAGGGTTCTGCCATGTTTCCGTAATAAGTTTAAGTCTATTTGTTACACGGAGTAATTCCACAAAGATGAAAAAACACAAAAAAACACTAAAAAGACAAAGACAGAAAAACATCGACACTGCAGAGAACGAGTACAGCAGGAGTCCTTTAGAAGTATTGCACAAATAGTCGCTGCGGCAGGCGGTGATGATGCTACGCATTATCCCAATTATATCATTGGCAGATAATTGTATCAGCATGTTTGGCCAATACCAGTCACTATTATATATTTATATATAGTTTTTTTGGGGGGATATGGGAGGAAACTGGAGAATACAGAAGACACCCATGCAGAGTAGGAGGAGAACGTTTTTCTATGTTGAACTTCTTTTGCACCGTACGTAGCAAATTGTACAAAGGCGCCCGAATCAGGAATCTAACCCAGTTCCCTTCTTGTTGTGAGGTTGCGAGCGTGACCACCACGCTGCCAACCTGCCCGCCTACCTGGATGCATATTTGCGTGTAATTATATTTGACTTAAAAAAGCAGAAAATAAATTAACATTGTCATGAACGTCTGTGGTCAATTTACAAAACCCATACAATAATGCCGCCTAATTAGGACCGCTACATTAGCAGAACAGGAATTGGCTACTGAAGATAAAATGATGAGCGTGTGATTGTGAAATGGTAAACATGTGCGGTCATGGTTCCTTAAACGTCGGAACTGTTTTTGAGTCAAAAGCAGTTTCTTGGCAGTTTTCATTTCGAGTTGCATTTTTTCCAGGATGTTTTTTTCTTCTCTCCTCCATTCTTTCTGCAATCGCTGCAAAATTGAATAAAGTTTCACTGCAGGAAAATGCGCTGCCATAAAAGAACAAAAAAACATCACACTTTGAAAACCCGGGGACATTTCATACATGTAAGGGGCCATACATTTAGTACGTACGCATGGAGGGGGAGGGGGGTTAACCCAAACGCGTTCGCTTGCGTATGGGGGGGTCTACTGACAATGTACGTACACATAGGGAACGGGGGGGGGGGATAGGGGGGGTGAAGCCTCGATAATAAGGTGTCTACGTTGGCCTTCAAAGGAGTTAGATAGTCCGGCGGTGGACTATCTGTTTGCTTAAACACGTTAATATTATTATACATCCTTGATCGTTTCTGCGTGGATTACATATCGGCCGTTCTATAGGATTCGGGGGCGGGGGTGCGCCCAGCGTACGTACGCAGGTGGGGGGGGGGGGTGTTAAAAGTCCGCGTGCGTACAGGGAGTGGGGGAAGGGTCAAGTTTTGACAGATTTTTACGTACCTACTCAATGGATGCCCCCTAAGTGCGTGTTTGTGTGTGTGTGTTTGTGTGTGTGCGTGTTTGTGTGTGTTTGTGTGTGTTGTGTGTGTTTGGTTCACAGTCAAGTGTGTGCGTGTATGTATAGACCATTGGTTGAACTACGTCTTTTAGGCATTGCAAGTTCAAATCCAAACCTTGGCTGACTCATCCGATCATCATTATCAGCATCATCAACCCGGTATTGATAATTTGAGTGCAATTTGGTGGTTTTATTATGAAGATCCTGACCCCCATCATAGTAATGTGGCATTTCCTCCCCTGGTTTAAGATAAACACTTCCTAATGCCCCTTTGAGCAAGGAGACAAATTGACTTGGCCTTTCAATGCAGAGTAACCTAGCCAACGTCTGTGTATGTAGTTGCGTGTGTCTCTGTGTTTTTGTTTGCCTGTGTATTTTAGTGTGGGGACTGGTAGTGTGGTGATTAGCACAGTGTACTTCAAACCCAGCGACCCGAGTTCGATTCTCGCTCACGGCCAGCATCAGTGACGAATGTCTGAACCGGTTCTAGGTTGACTCAGCTTCAAATGAGTAACTGGTGTGGTTTGTAAAACATCAGCAAAGGGGAGACAAAAACGACCTCGCGTGGTGCTGGCCACCCAACCCCTCGTGTGCCGTGCCGGCCTTCATAGGTGCGGATCGCGAACAGCACTTGCCCCCAAAAGTATGTTAAGGCTATACGGGGGATCTTTGTCTGCGTCTATGCATATGCACAATCGCTGCATTTAAAAGGTGGACGGAACAAAAGAAGCATTGTACACAAATCCACGCGTCTTTGCCTGTGAATGCCGACGTGAGCCGTCTGATAAACGGAACGTCAAACATCCCACGGCATCACTCGGAAGAGGAACGCCCCGCGTCCGAATGTCGTAGCCCAAGAATCAAACGCCACCCCGCCGCTCGCGTCATACCGCGCACGTCAAGAGTGCGCGCACCCTCCCACGAGCGGAAATTCCACATTCACATGCTGGGGACCAGTCTATGGGGGGGGGGGGGGAGAGGGGTAAGGACTGTCGGCTTCCCACAAAGGTGGTATTCATCTTGCCAGAAAGTCAGCCGTCTGTCGCGAAAGAGATCATGGATCTCACCTGGGCCTCTCTCACCTGGTTAAATAAAGGACGCCGACTCGAATTGATGCCCCCCCCCCGTCCCGCCCCCCACCTGCATCGAGTGTCCTACATTTGCGGCGTCTGAGCTTGAGTTAGGGCTTTAATGAAATTTCAATTTGGCCTCGGCGGTGTCGACACTCGGCTCCATGGGACAGCGCTCCTGGCCCGGCTCCAAGCCAAGCCAAGTCTCCGCCCCATATTTCATTCGCCGTTATTTATTTATTTGTATGCTTACGTGGATATGGCCCCTATTTATTTTCTCTATTCATTCATCTATCCCTCTTCTGGGGGGGGGGGGGAGGAGGGAGGGAGCTTGGAAAGCTGAGTGACAAGCGAATTAGTGGTTAATCTGTCCCAGAATGGCCGTGTTGTGTTTTTTTTTTAGTGTGTGTCGCTGGGTTTTTTTTTGTCAGCAGAATTTCTCTTGCCTGATGTGGCCTCGCCAGGGGGAGAGGCGGCGTGCGCGTCAGCCCAGCGGTGCCGCGCGTTCACGCGTGCCGCGCGTTCACGGCCCCGCCGGCCACTTCGTCCGGCCGCTGTGTGGGCGTGCGTTAGAACCCTGGCTCGCGCTGGGTTACAATCAGAAGGTGTATTTATACTGGGGGAATCCGATGAGCCATGAAGCTCTTTTTCACAGATGTCCACTCGTTTTTACAGATGTCCAGTAGATTATCGGGCTGATTCTGGTCATCGGCATCGACGCAGCTTTCATGCGTATGGCATCAAAATGCGATCGCATTTTAAGTCGTTTTTACAAAAATGAAAGGCGTATCGATGTGCTCCGACTGCGATATTGTCTTGATAAGCTTTTTTCCGAACTTTCTTTGAGCTACATTCCAAAGTGTACTGTGATCACACACAAAACATCGTTGTTGACAAATGCATCCCTTGGGAAGTCGCTGGTAGCTACCCTGACGAAAGGCTGGCCCCTGCCATAGGAACGTGGAATTTTTATACGACGGTCGCCAGTGGGTGGCAAATTGTCTCCCTGCTCGATCGAGCGGTGCCAGGGAGTCGTTTCGCCTCTGGATTTTCACCGAGACCACCGCATCTGCAACTTAACCAGAGCAGCCCCCCCCCACCCCTCCATTATCTCAACACTCAGTACAGGAGACCGCCCTGAGAATGAATGAATACCCATGCTGATGATGGAATAACACCCGCACACCTGCACAGGTGTCTGCGTAACCTACTTGCTGTTCTAGCTCACGGAGACGCCGCCTCCTTGGCCCCGCAAGGTGAGCGCCGACTCGCGCGCATCACGGCTCCATCTCGACGTGATCCATCGACCCCCCCCCGCTCCGCCCCGCTCGCCTGTCTGAGTGGACCAATGAGAACCGAGCGGTGTGCGGGCGACGCGTGCTGGGGCACGTGTCACGTGGGCGGCCGGATGCCCCCCCCGCCCACTCTGCACCCTCCCCTCCCACCCTGCTGGCTCGCCAGGTGAGACACGTGGTGTCGCTCCAGATATTTGCCTCTTTGCGCCGTGGTCACCGCGTGCCATTACGAAATTAAGGAGGTGAACAATGACTCGATTGAGTTGAATGAAATATACATTTGCATGAGTGGAGGGAGGGAGGGGAGGGGAGGGAGGGAGGGAGGTCACTCGTCATTCTCCAGGGTGGAGTTGTTTGTCTTCAACAGCCACCGGTGACCTCTTGCGGCGTGACTTACGGGGCTGGCGTCGTGATGGCAGATGCGTCTTGTTTGACGGAATCTATCCCGCACGGCCACGGTTTTAACTTCAAACCTACCCACTGTGTCCTCGCCTGTAAGTACATCGTCGCATATCCGAATCTTCGCATATCCGACCCGACCGATTGACTGCTGACACCGGTGCAGTGTTTGTGCACGATCGGGTAGCGGTGATCTTCTAGAGATGTTCTGATATCCGATCGTTTCACACATCTGCCTATACGTCAGTCCACAGAAAGTTGGATTTGTGCGACATAATGTACAACTCTTCAACAAACTAGAAAGGACTATATATTATATTGCGATTCGAAGTTCGCTTTTTGAAACATGTATACGTTTCTATACATCATGTCAATTTAAATGCCTTTAAATTTCCACAAAAAAGTGAATTGGGAGCCCAGTAACATCCTGGTCTAAGATTTCCTACCGTGGTAAGCAGAATGAAACACATCCGGCCCCATCAGCTGGGCTTAGTTTTTTTTTCAATAAGGAACAAAAAACTTGTTTTGAATCGGCGTTAGTCAAAGTGCAGAGTGTGTGTGTCTCTCTTGCAAGTCAAACTTCAACTGTCGTGTTCTGGATCAATGCTTACGTTCTTTGTCATTTGAGTCATCATCATTGTCATCATCAAAGCTTGAGATAAAATCAAGGTGAACCCCTTTTGGAAAATAATTCTGGGTAAATGTAAAAAAAAACAATAATTGTCCACTATAGAATAACATTGTCCAAAATAGAATATATATGAATGAAAAATATTATCGAAACCAAAAGAATGCAAATCTCTGGCCAACGACTCGGCAACACCAGCCAGTGACGCGAGATTATTGACGCGAGGCCTGCGGTGTTCGGGAGTCACGTGACCGTGTCTCTGATAACAGATGCAGGTACCCGTCATCTCAGATTACTCCATGTCCAGTTTGTAGACAGATGACAATCACTCGTAATTTTCTAGGTTTTTGTTATCATGTCATTTTTGTCTTTTATTAAAATTTGCGTTGAGTGCTTGTTACGATAAAGCGATATACATCTGCAACTCAACTTTTTACGATTCATTTATTTTACCAGCTAAGGCCCACTGAGCTATACAGCTCTTACGTATTCATTTCCGATAATTCGTCAAGAAGAAAGGTTTTCGTACGCCAATATCATTAACCGCGAAATTTGCCATTCGCGAACATCTCTGAAATCGTGTTCCCCGCCGCGAATGGCGAGGGAACACCGCATTTGTTTCCCTGTGCGGCGCCGAGTAAAGAAGCCGCGTGCGCCACGAACGCCACGAACGCAGCGGTGGTCGCGTCAGCCCGGTCAGTCCGGCTCCCGAGCCAGCGCCACGTGCGCACACACAATTGAGACTCGAGACTCGCTCTCGCCACTCTGGGACATTCCCACGTGACTGGCATCGCGCGGCTCGGCGTAATGTCCTTGCTTCTTTCGGTAAAGTCACGTAGATAGAAAATAAAAATAAAAAATGATAAAAATAAAAGCAACAACAAAAAACCCCACGACGTTTCGATCGCAACACAAGCGGTCGTGTTGCAATCGAAACGTCGTGTGGTTTTTTTTTCTTTCATTTTAAATTTATTTTGTATTAGTTTTAATTTTTATTCCATTTTATTTGCATTTGCTATCCACGTGACTTTACCGAAAGCGACCAAGAATATGAATTCCTGCAGTCACGAAAGTTTTAAGTCGAAGCTCAGCGTAATGTCATGTTCTTCTGCTTTAGCTGCCCCCCCCCCCATCACACGTTCTCTCTCTCTCTCTCCCCTGCTTATTGCACTCCCTCTCTCTCACGCCGGCTCGCTCACTACTCAACCGCACGCACATGCACAGACAAAGATACCCGTGTAGCCTTAACAGACTGTAGGGGCAAATGTTATTAGCGAGCACCTATGAAGGCGCACGAGGGGTGGGTGGCCAACACCACGCCCGGCCGCCTTTGTCTCCCTAGTGGCGATGTTTACATATCGCACCGGGTACTCATTTCAGGCTGAGTCGACCCAGGGACCGCCCAGGACCAGTTCAGATAATCGTCACCGGTGTTGGCCATGAGCGGGAATTGAACTCGGTCGCCGGGTTCGTAGCGCAGCGCGCTAACCGCTGCACTAACTGTTGCACTACCGTGCACTATACACACACGTGCAAAGACACACACACATGCACACTTCTGCAGAAATACGCATATACAGACCCACACACTCGTACACACGCACAACACAAACACTCTGCACACACATATCATGGGACCTTATGTTACCAGTATCAAAGTATGAAAAAAAGGAATAGGTTTTACACTTTCTGGCAATAGAACAGCAAGTAAGATGTTCAAACACCACAATAGAAACCTTTTGCAAGGAATCGTGTCTGCATTAAGCACATATATGTGTGCTGATTCTGTTTTATTGCCAGAAAGGGTAAACCCTATTCTTACTTTTCATACTCTCCACACTTGTGCACTTCCACTTGCATGCACTTGCAGCCATGTGTAAAGCAAATACAACCGACAAAGTGTCCTCATGGATCCTTGAAGCGAATGTAGAGGCAAGAGCCATCACTGGCACATAGCACACCGCATGAGGAGGTGGGCGGCTACTATACCTTAATCGCCTTTGTCTCCGCGCTGCTGACGTCCCAACCCAGGATCGGTTGGGACATCACTCGCCGCTGATTTCAGCCGTGAATGCGATCCCCGTGCCACCGTCAACGTCACCGTGCCTGCGATCTGCACGTGACCACGTGCTTGCTGTGTGTGTAGGTAGGTGGATGGGCAGCAGGTAAATGGGTTAGAGAGATGTAAATAGACAGCAAAATTGTAATAATAATAATGACAGTATTCAGATGCAGGATAATCGCTGATTATGAGAATGGTTGTAATTTTCAAAAGCAAAATCTCACCATTTATGGGACTTTTTTTCCCCCCCATTATCACAATGATGAAAGCCTATTCTTACATCTCACCACATGTGTAAACGACTTTGCAATGTGGTTGTCATCCATTTGCATGTCCCACCCTCTCTCTGGTTGTCTTGCTGTCTGTTCATTCGCCTCGATGCTTGTCTGTGAGTCGGTTCATTGATGTTGATCCTCCGCTGTCTGTAAATCTGTCTGTCAATCTTCAAGTCTTCATCTGCCCATCAGCCCGTCTCTCCATCTGTCTCCGTGTATTCACCGATCCATCTACCGACCGACCCGGCTCTTCTCTTTCCACTCTTTCCTTTCCTCGTCCCCTGTCCTCCCCCCAGCACTTCCGATCAGCACGGTTGGCTATGTAGGGCGTGAAAGAAGTTCAACATACACGCGTGCATCCAGTTTCATCAGTGTTTTTTTCCCCCTCTCTCTTCATCCACCAGCCTGACCCCCCCCCCCCCCCTATCCTGCTTCTACCGATCCCAACAACTCTATCTCACCCCCCCCCACGCCGTCCACATCCTCAGCTGCCTCATCTCTCCAGGTCTAATCCCTGCGCGGGGAGGTCAGAGGTCGCAGGAGCCCCGCGCCTGTTGGCCGCCACTTTTCGACGCTAATTACACCATAACTCACCCCGGGCCCGCCGCTTTAAGCAGGGCTCGCAACGCGCTACAAATTGGTGACAGATGAGAGACATAAAACGCCTCGGGGAAAGAGGCAAAAGTCACAGAGGCAGCATTAGTCAAAGCGAGGCGCGGCGCGCCGCCCCCGGCGCGTCCCGAACGGCCGCCCGGCCGCTCCGGCGTGGGCCACAAATTGAAAGCGCGCGGGTCGGCGATGCGGTCGCGCGTGCACCTACTAGGACCTCTCACGCCACCGCACGTAGTCGGCCGCGGCAGTCGGAGCGACGCGTCTTTGCTCGTCGCTTGCGTCGCGGGAAGAGGCGGCGGCCGCCGCGGTTGAGCTCAGCGCGCGACCCCCGAGTTTCGATTCCCGCTCACGCGGCCGACGTCGGCGAAGGAGGTGTCTGGATCCGGTGCTGGGCCGCCCTCCCCGAGGTCGACTCGGACTTGAATGAGTGCCTGGCGTGCTGCGTCAACATCGCCACGAGGGAGACGAAGCCGGCCAGGCGTGATGCTCGTCGCCCACCCACTTGTGTTGTGCTGTGTTGGCCTTCATAAAGATAAAGATCCCCCATATAGCCTTAACAGACTGTAGGGGCAAGTGCTGTTAGCGAGCACCTGGCCTTCATGGGCACTTGTTCACAGTTATTGCCCCAATAGTCCGCTAAAGCAGTAGGGAGGGGGGGGGGGGGTGCGGATCCTTTTTTGTTTGTTAGTGTGTGTCAGTGTGTATCGGTGCGTGCGTCACACTCGTGGAGTAAATACGACTGTGAGCCGATCATTCTGCCACGGCGTGACCCAGCCACATGCTTGGGTGCGTCAAACGTGTTCCCGATCCTCAGATCAGTCCGAATGTTATCGATGATCCGGATCATTTATCAGAATGTATGGCGTCACAGGAAACGACATCACACGTGACGTCACGGCTGTGGTTTTCAAAACAAAAAGAATGGTGGCGCTGATGGTGAAGATGCGTTCTCATGTAATTTGAAAATCCCCGCAATACTTTCCCCTAAAGTGTAAATACATAATTTCGCTCGTGTTCTCAAATATGCCTGATGTTATCAGTTGAACAAATTACCGTTCCGAAGCTTCTACAGCCAGCAGAGGCTTGTGGCAGGTCAGGAAATGGCCCCGGAACGTGACACCGCAGAACTACTTCTGGGTCATTTCAGTGCGGCTCTCCACGATGCACTGCATTGCCCCCGCTAGTGCCCTGCATGCCAATCAACCAGTACACGTGCGAACGTTAACCCTGACAGCCGGACGCATCTCTATGATGTGAAAACCCAAATTTAAATGATGAACATTTTCTGCGATCATTTGTAGCTGGACTGAGACCACCGGAGAACCCAGTTTAAGTTGGGGTGGCTGAAACTTTATACTTTTACGTATGTTGAACTTCTTTCGCACAGCACATAGCCAACCATGCTAATCGAAGGTGTGGGGAAAGCACAACAAACTAAACACAAGAAGCAGTTCTAAAGAAACTAAAGCCCAGGATCATGAACCCAGCTTTTCAGCGGCACTTGCTCAACGTCTCTGACCAGGCCATTATGAGCCCCCTGAGCCGGTTGATTTCTTCTCGTGTCCCACTTATACTTTTGTTAGCGATGGGTCGTGCAATCACCACGCTCGCAGGGAGATCGCTGCCGAGGAGACCCTGGGCTGTGGGTAATGGCGATGAGACGCGTGGGAAATTAACAGCCGGGCGTCTTCCTCGCCAGTGCTGCATCCGCCCTGACCACCGCTGTCGATTGCGTTCAACTCGCTCGCCTTTATTTAACCGCGTGAGAGGCTCACGCGGATCGGCTATTTTTTTTTTTTTGCGAGAGAGATCTGGGGCACCCACAGCTGAACATAGACGGTGATTATATAGATTTTTGGTACGATGCGGTTTAGGGGTAAACTCAGCTCATCGTCCTTCTTTGGGTCTATAAAACAAGTACCATTTTTTTTCTTCTAGATTTGAAGCTTTCGTGACTGCAAGGATTCATACTCTTAGTTCTTTCGGTAAAGTCACGTTAGTAAAAAATGAAATTAAAATTTATAAAAAAAAAATCACGACGTTTCGGAGGCAACACAAGCTTCCGTCTTCAGGTGAAACTGTCACAGCAAAAAATCTGTACCACTTGATACAGATTTTTTTTTGCTGGGACAGTTTCACCTGAAGACGGAAGCTTGTGTTGCCTCCGAAACATCGTGATTTTTTAAAATTAATTTTAATTTCATTTTTTACCTACGTGACTTTACCGAAACAACTAAGAGCATAAGTACCATTTTGTGGGACATCAACAGTGGTCGTCGGCACATCGAGACTGGTCCCCGTGCCAAGAGACTGCCGAATTCCCACCAGTGGCGCAGAGCCGGATGGAGAGACAGCACTGCCCCTTCGCTCGTTTGAGTGCGGGAGATGCTCACACTGCGATGTAGAGATATGCGGCTGAATTAAACTCGAAACCCGTCGAGCTCGGAATAAGAGTCACGTGTGCGGCGATTTAATTTTGTAATTACCGTTGAGAAACATAAACGAATAGAAAGCGTCGTGTAACGAGAGCAAAAAGGAAATTAATCTCTTCCCGCCGACAACACGCTGATAACGATTATTCCGCCAGCAAACAATGTGAATCCATTGCTTATATTGATGTCATTCGGCCCTGACATCGCGGCAATAATTAGGTTTTTATTGTTTAATTGAGTTGTAACGAATAGCGATGACAAAACAAAGCTACGTTTCTCTGCTCTCTGTGTTCTCGCTATAACGAGCCGCTAAATTGTGGGGGATTCTTCATGAGCAAGTTGATTGATAGCCTTTGCATAACCAGGTGGGAACCCATCAATATAAATTATTTCTTTTGGAAGGAAGTCCTTTGGAACTGTAATTAAATGGCTTAAAAGTGAAAGTGCCTCCCTGCTTGGATGAGCATGGGGTGGGCGCTCATCTCTGCTGACAGCCCTGAGCCAAAGGTGGAAATTCGTCAAACCCCAGGCCTCTGGCCACAGTGCCACTGGTACTGTGTGAATCTAGACGATGCGCATACCTGATGCACAAATGGAAAATGTTCAACTCTCTCCACTAGTGTGCGACTGTCGTCGTCATCCAGAACGGACCCGAACAACGTCTAACAACGCGATGCTCCGATGCGCAAATACAACGGAGACATCACGGCGATACACTCCGCTGTCTGCTGACGCGGTTGTTATCTGGCCTGACCACCTGAATGTGACGTTGTAGCTGTTGCTCTGAACCTTCATCAGCCGTACGACAAGAAGAAGATGAACGAATCGACGTGAAGACACTAAAACGATGTGTTCAGAATCTCAGCGAAGTGAGTGGCGGCTTTGGGTAGGACGCGTCGCTCGAAGGGACGGTGACCGATTTGTCAGCGGATAACAACGGAGTGGCAACTCTCGCGTCCAAGAGGACGACCACAGGGGTGGATGGTGACGCCGCAGGATCGGATCGTGATAGATGGTGACGACTCTAAATTAAACTCTTTGTTCTTTGATAATTGTTTTTTTACCCATCTGGCAACAAAACTGACACATTTTTTTTACAAGGAGTCATGTTTGCATTGACCACAATACCTGCGCTCTGAATGAAAACAAAAAACAACTCTGATAATGTATGCGCTGTCCTTGAAGTTGATTGGTCCACACCCGAGACAGCTTTTCTTAGAGCCTAGTCTCACATGATGTTGGACCAAATGACGCCAAAAGGCGCACAACTCAAAGACAATGCACCATCAGAGTATGAGAGTTCGGGGTAAGCATTTACACCATTGGAACCTCCTTTGCCAGTAGCAAAATATGATAATTGGATTTTTACCCTTTTATCTGGCAACAAAACTGACACTTTTCTTTTTTCTTTTACCCCACTCAGCTTTAATAGCTCATTTTCAGCAGCGACCTGGCCACAAATAAAAGCTCAAGCAAGTGGCTTATCATGTGGACATTTTTATCAGCGAAATACTCTAAACGTATGATTCTAAATGTGGAGGAAAAAAACCTGAGGATCCGGAGAAAAATCCACGCGACCACGGGGAGAGCGACACGCAAGCTCCAAATATCCAGCAGGCGTCAGGGTCGGGATCGAACCCACGAACCTCCTGCATACCAGGCGAGGTAGTTAACATCTCGCCACCGCGGCACCCGGTGGCGAGATGTTAAATAATTTCGGGAGGTCTTCATCCAGCAGTGGATAACTCATGGCTAATGATGATGACGACGACGATTGGCTCGGTGTTCGCCCCTTCTTGCACGCGTGGTGTGTTCTCGGGAAGTGCCACTTCCTCCCACGCTTTGCTCAACTCCAGCAATGAATATTTCCACACATTCCACGCAGTGCATTCCGAAATAAATAGATAAATACACAACCTTCATACTTCACGAGGCTTTCCTGGATAGACGCTATTCATCGCAGCAGCTTGCTGTTCGCTGCTGGCTTGCGCCGTGGTTAACCGATGGCCGTAAGTTCAAGTCCAGGTTGAGCCTCGGCTCAATTTGTGTGTCTCTTTGGTCAATCAAAGACGAGTGCTACTTTTGGGTGATGTAGTCGCCATCCTGCGTTTTCGTTCTCCCGGCACGGCAATGGAAACACTCGGAGAGTTTCCGTGATCCCGCCAGCTGTGACGAGGGGAGACGAGGCGTGGGAATCCCTAACCCACGTGGCTCAGGGCTGACAACAGAGACGGCTAAATACTCATTTGATTATGAGACACACACACACAATTATTGAACGATATTCATGCCCAGGGGTCGACAACTAAAATAACAAGAAGAGCCATTTTTTTTGTTTCGAATTTGGTTAAGAAACAAAAAAACAAAACCCCCCTCTCAATATTTCAAGAGCCGCAATTGCACGCGAATATGAGACGGCGACACGTGCATAATAATTGACGCCACGAAGCAGTCGTTAGAGAGAGAGAAGTGCGCGGCTCGCCAGCCGCCGGTTGCCGACCCCTGTTCATGACAATTATTATATTCATCTTCTTGGTTCTTTCGCTAAAGTCACGTAAAAGGGAAGTAATAAAATAATAAAAATAAAACATAATGAAATAATTCTCACGACGTTGCTGACGCTGTCTCCCCGACAGTCCTGGTCTTCACCTGAGGACGGCTGCTTGCGTTGTGGCCGAAACGTCGTGAGAATTATTTTATTATGTTTATTTTTATTATTGTATTACTTCCCTTCTACGTGACTTTACCGAAAGAACCAAGAAGATGAATCCCTGCAGTCACGAAAGCTTTTAATCGAAATTATTATATTGCCAGGGAATCCTCACGACGACTTTTTTTCTTCCCAGAACGCTCCTGCATTTGGCCAAATATCAACGACGAGTCACTTTGCCGCGGTGGAATTCACACCTGGCAACCCATGCGGTTTGCCCCGTATTCTTGTACAGGGGAATTTTAGTTTTTTTTCAGGTCCAAACGGCGTACAGCCGTTTCAATAGGCCAAATATTGTTTATCTATTTGTTTGCGTTTCTCCCTCGTGATGGGATTTTGTAGGATGAACGTTGCGATTTATAAAGGGCACGGGGTGACCAATAAGGTCTGAATTGGTC